CGTCTGCTTTCCAATACAATTTCGCGGGGGGTTCGCGACGTAGCGGGCGGAGCTTTCATTTTGTAATTAATTGTCCGCCATTTTAACATTGGAAAATCATTTTTTTCCTCTCACCCTCTCCTCCCCCTCTTCTTCCCAACGAACCACGATTTTCCAATTAAATCATCGACAAGCACGGATTCTTCTGTAATTCCTAACACGAAGTGTACAATATTGGCGTTTAAAACGTTGTGCAGAGATTGTAATTTCAAATTGAAAAGTGATGTGTCTTCTTTTCTGGATAGGCTCTGTAAATGTGATTCTTGGTTAAATGGTTGTTTCATGTAATATAGATTGATCACTTATCTAAAAACGTTTTTATTATTACCATTACTTAATGCTTCAAATTTATCTCGCTGTATTTCTTCCATCGACTATACATCTGGCACAGCAACAGTAGTCAGTCAGAGCGCATTCAACCCCCGAAAGAGAGAAAGAATTTTCATGCTCCAGTCGAAGGAAGCAACGAGCGCTTCTGTGAAAAGAGAGAAATTAATATCCATGGCGAAGTTCACCGGGGCCGTCTAATTAAATACCTGAGCGTGGTAACGATTTCGACCCTCGTTTTGGCGGGGGGAGGAAGCGTGGTGGAGATGGGGTTGAAGCGGTCAGCATGGACCAGTGCGTGCGTGCCAGTCGGCTGCTATTATCATAAACGCAACAATAACGAGGGATGATCCGACGTGTAAACTGTTAAACCCTCCTCCCCCTTCGGCCCTTTTTTCGGGGTGAGGGTGAGGATTACCATGGGGGCCCCTCGAACTACGTTCCCGTGGCTGGAATCCACGGGGGATGTTATTGTTGCCACAGACGAGAGCGAGAAGGAACGATTCCTCGGTGGAAATAGAGACAGCCAGACGATAGACGGCTATAAATGCTAGGCTAGAAATCCACGGGACCACCCCGTTCAACCCTCAATAATATTGACGCTGTTCGCCGCCTCCCATTACGAGCTCGATTGAACCGAACTATACGATTATCATGCGTCACTGATAGTCTCTCTTCCTGAGTTCTCTCTGGGATCTTGGGGAGAAATTGCTGGTCTTTGTTGCGGAGCTTGAACTGTTGAATGGTGATTTGAATACTCTGGGAGACAGAGAATCTAAAAGTATTTGGAAAAATGGAATAATGGTTTTTTAAACATGTTGAGTAGCGCGATAATTTCACGTGACTTTTCATTTAGACCGCGTAAGCTACCGATGGTCCACGTTGTTGCATTTATTATGTTATTTTTCGGTAACAGTACGCCACCTAAATTTTCAAATATTCAAAGTTTTGAGTTTTACATGTGTGGGCCATCGTATGAAGATCAACGTGGCTCACCGATGGCCCACGCTGCTCTCGACGTGTTAAGAAGTACCTGACAAAACTGATCACTTCTGAAAACTGAAGTTTCCTCGTGTAGTCTCCCCTACAGATACGAAATATGCGTCCGCAAGGTCGGCACCGTACTTAATACCCTACAAATCATCCATAACTTTGAACATAACCTCTACTTCAAATTTGCACTTGATTGAACAACTCTTTATATTCACACGTTGTCTGAACATTAATCTATCAAGAAAGAATCTCAAACGAGAAACAACTCACCAGTTGAACGATTTAACCATAGACAGTTTCGAGACGATTTTTCAACAACCGGAACAAGTGGGATCGATGGTCCCTTGGTTAAATGCATTCATAGGCAGACAACGTAGAGTGACGCTCGCACGTGGAATACATGAATACGAAAATCCTCGAAGTTCATTACTGCTACTTCCTACGAAGTCGTTCAGGTGGTACTTGCACGATGCTGCCAACATAACCCCCGCTTACACCAGTCACCGGCGTTTCAAACTGTCGTCGGCTCCTGCTAGCTTATAATCAATTCAGTTAAAATTGATTTCCACTCGTCACGATACATCAAACAAAACGTGCCTCTCTCTCTCTCTCTCCCTCTCTCCCCTCTCCCCAGTCCCCTTTTCAATGCTCTACGCTCTTATTTCGTACTCCCCCTTGACTACCGTAAAAAGCATGATCTCGCGATTCGAAATCGAGTTATAAATATTCAACTGGAGTCAAAGATGGCGACGTAGTACTAGTCACGAGGTTGTTCGCGAGAGTTAGCATTGGGGGAGGATCTCACGTAACCGTTTTGTTCTTTTGTCAGGCGGTCGTCATTATATCGTGGTGCCTTCAATTTTTTCCCATCTCTTCTCCCAACCATGGTCGTCGTGTTTTTCGCATGGGTGTGCGATAACAGCGCCAGGATTCGATGCCTTCCTGCTGCCGTTACGGGGGATGGGGAAGAAAGAAAGAGTGAAACGCCATAACGTATTCCTCCTACTCTTTTTTTCTCACTCTCTTGTCTATATGTAGTACGTGATGTTCCTGGTTACGTGCGTGCTGACTGATTTCACTCTGTACGCTTATGCACGCGGCCGCCGCGTTGCCCTTTCGAAAATCCGTTATTAGCATCGAGCCTCCATTATGACGTTTCACGATGCTGCAAACACTTAGGCGTGCTGCACGTTCTTGTCTTCTTCCATTCGTCGCGTAGCTGCACGCGCGTTTACATATTATTGGGGGGGAACACGGGACACGCGCCGCCACGCTCCGGCCCATTCACCTACGCGAATATTGTGTTCCCGTCTCGTGGACGTAGTTTGTCCGTCTATGTCTTTTTTGACCAAAGGTGCTCGGTGTTTGCAGGCGCAGGTTCATCTCTATATGATGGATAGTGGAAGCCTTGAGTCGTTCTATGTCTATGCTTTAAGAAATACAATGCGCGCTAATTGACGGTTGAAAGATCGAAATATGCAGCGTACAAATTTCACGGAGAAATATGTAATTTTGTACCGATCGTTTATTATAGGTTGGACTTAAGCAAACGCTAATTTATTTTGCAGGTTATCAGAGCACTGATTACCAGGGGGGATACGAGAGCGCAGGGGGATCTAACCAAGTCGCGATGATGCCTGGTCCATGGGCGAGAGGTTATGGTCTACCTCACACTTATAATCAACAGCGTTATCCAGAGTATCAGCAGAGAAGTAATTACAGTGTTCAGCCGTACGGGCGAAACGTTTATCAGAGTCAGCAATACAACAATTACGGATCGCAGTACAATCAGCAACGGGTAAGACTTTGATTTCATCGTTCGGAAATAATAATTAAATATCAGTTAATGAAGTTAATTGAAGTGGATCGTTGTAAAGTAGCAGAGATTAGAGAACATCTTCAACAGAATTTAGTAGAACAACTAGGGGTGTATTTTGGAAAATTAATTTTGTTTCTTATGGTGTTCTAGAATTATTCCCCTAATTACCAAGGGAACGGAAGCGGAAGCGGAAGTGGAGGGAACAGGTCAGGGTGGAGACGGTAGACGTAGACTTATATCGCTTACGTTCGATTAATGCCATCACGGGTTTTTAATTTAGATTTATAAGTGATTCACGTTTCATTTATCATTATATAGAATCGTGAAAATTAAGGTTAGAATCAGAAATCCATTTTACATTGCTTTTTCCGTTTGTTCGCCCGATATATACCTATTTTATTTAGGTATAAGAACTGAAACATTTCGTTCTTTTCATCGATTCGTAGGATCTTTGCGTTCAAGGAGAGCATTGTCGTCTGCATAGCAATTAATTAAAGTGCTAACAGCGTTTAAATAATGGAAATGATTTTTTTTTCATGGGAGGGTATATAATAGACGCATAATATGACCAGTGATGGCAGCTATTATCTTCGACATAGCGACGTAAGAATCTATCAAGTGTAATTTTATATGAACTCCAGCGTAAAGATGAATTTGTATTTTAAAAAATTCGTTGAAGATTGCTCTTAGACTGTGACAGTTTTATCGGAAGGAGCAATCTTCGAGCGAGCACAATCTGTTGACAGGAATTTTATCGTGCAATTGGAACTCGTGAAATCATGTTGAATGTATTTCCGCACGATTATTGTTTATCAGCGCAATTTAGTCCATTTATTCTTCACACGAGAACAATCATCATAGTACATGAATGATCTGTTCTATTGTAACGAGTATTTTAAATGTACAATGTATATTCTGAATTACAAAATCATGAATGAGATCGTTGGTTGTAATACAGAATATTCCTATAAGCAACACTGAGCGTTCATTTTCTTCGGATTTTATCATTCCCAGCCGAAACAATTGAGGCGTCGACGTAACAAATAGAAAATGGAAATGTTACATAAATTGGAAACTATTTTTTCATAAAATAAGAATGGAAATTACAAAAAAAAAGAAAAAAAGAAAAGAACATTTTAATCTTGTTCGATAGTTTTTTTCGCGTCAATGTCTCAATTGCACCATGTATATCCGTCGTTCACGCATATCGTCGGTGTGCAAACCGACCGAAGGAAACACGACGTGCATTTTTTTCCATTTCTCACAATGACTTGCGCGCCACACATGGAGATTTTTGTATTGTATGCACTTGAGGATAAAAAATATATATAATTTAGTTGGTTCCATATCTTTCTGCCGCTTGAAATTTCTTATTCACCTAAAATACAATATCCTTCATACCCTTAATATCCTTCCCTTTAATCATAAGATAATATTAACCTTTAATATATTTTTTTTCGCAATCGAAAATGATGGTTTCAGCTTGCATAGGTGTACAAATCGGTAACGTGTAATTTTTCGTACGAAGAATGGTAAAAGTTTTGGGATGCTGGAAGGCGTAATGACGACGAATGGCGTGGTGGTATGGTATCACGCTTGAAACCAGGCGGTCTGGGTACATCTGGTACCGGTCTACCAGAGCGGGCGAGCATTGAACCAGCGAGTACCACTCGAGAAAACAATAGCGAGCAACGCTCTTGTTTTCTCTCTCTCTTTCTTTCTCTCTCCCTCCCTCCCTCCCTCTCTCTCTCTCTCTTTCTCTCTTTGGCTCCTCTATCGTCACCCTGAAATCTGGAACCCATGTTGTAGAACCGTTTCATCGAAAGCAGAGACGCTCGATCTCTTTAGTCAGGCAAACTTTGCGAATCGATGCGATCTTACGTTGACGTGCCTGATATTAAAGGTAACGTTCATGTCTTAATTCCTTGATTCTTCCTCGGTGGGGAATATTCTCTTTCTCCTCTTCTTTTTTTTTTTTTAAGTAGAAAAAATATTCGCACAGTGTGTATAGATTAGATAAAAATCACAGTAGACAGAGTATTGTGTTCTGCACAGCCCGTTTAATTTGCGTTGCCCGCATAAAATCGGCGATCCAAGCTGATACTTCCGATAGCCCACATGGGTAAGTGTAAACAACCCTTTCGATCCTGCTTCTCACACTGTTTCCTCGCTCTTTACAGCGTGGATATACGTTACTCTATATTCAATACAGACTGTATTATAATTCTCGAGATGTATCACAATTTTCCTAACCTTACTTTTTCAAATTTTTTGAGTCGTAACTTGTTTCTGTATTTAAATTTATGTACTGCAATCTCTGTTTAACAACCTGTATAACAAAATATTCATTAAATTGATAATACTAAAAGGAAGTGTCATTTCTGTAGTATTCTTGTAGTTATAATTTTGCAAAAATGCAAGTTACCCATTTTCCCAAGACTTTCAGTTCCTTTCCGATGTGCAGCAGTTACTTTTCACGGTGTTCTTCGGTTGAACATCAAGTTCCTCTTTCAGGAATTTCGTGGAGGATTTTCGCATCTCGAGCGCGGTTATTGCGTCTGCACGTGATTATGGATGATCGAGCCGCGTTGTGCGTGCCGCGCATACTCCTTCACTCTGGGAGTGCTCCTTTCTGTGAAGCATGCGGCGTTATCTCGGCTTCCTTGTTGTCCCTTTGATGAAATAAAGCACTATCCGCGGCGAGATCTACCCCACGTTAGTAGTTGCGGTCCCAACTTCTATATATGTATAGATATACATATACGTACCTTCTCTCTCTCTCGTGCTCTCTCTCACTCTTTATTCTCGAGTTCTCTCGACGGTGCAGGACACAATGCGGCCCTTACATCTTCATCGAGTACGAGTCGTCGCTTGCGTGTAATGCGTTCACTCTGCTTTTCATACGGGTACGCGCCCCGACCATTTCCTACCAACCGACTCGGATTCGGTTGGACAGCACTCATGTCGCTTTTCTTTCCGTGGCTTGCACCCTAAAGAAAAGCGTAAATTAATTTAAGTGTGCCCTCGCCGTTTACCACGTGCGTTTATCGGCCCATTGTTTCGCTTTAAGGTGAACATAGGACTTGAAAGTGCTGCCATCTTCATCTTGAAACATGGAAAACAATAGATACTATACGGGTAAAATAACAAAAAATGAATACGTTGAAATTGGGTATCACTCGAGATTCAATACACTTCAAGTTCTGTTTTAACGATCCTCGAAAACAACGTACGTTCCATTTCCGATTTTTTTTTTTTTTTTGCCACGCAGCACCCGAAAACTATGATTTTTGCACAGAATACCAAGCCTTTCTCTCTCTCTCTTTCTCTCTCTCATTCGGTTAAAGCCGATGTAAAATGCGTTTGTGTCGGCCGACGCAGATTCCAATGGTGTACGCATGCACTCGTGCGATATACATGGTTGAAAGAATAAAAAACCAAAGAAAGAAGAAAACACAATATAAAAAAAGAAGGGAGCGAGTGAAATAGAGAAAAGTGAGGGAAACGGAGAGACAGAGTGAGAGAGGGGCGAGAACAGAGAAAGAAGAAACTTTGGTGCACGTAACTGGAGGCAGTCCGTTGGGTGGTTGAATCGTGGAGTGGAAGGCAGTGAGAGCCCTTGTACGCCCATGGAGAAGAAGGTCCAGGTGCGCCCTCACCTCACACGACTCTGCTCCACGGCACATCCGAGTTCTCTTCTCCCTTCATTCTCTCTCTATTCCTCCCTTCTTCTCTTTACTCATTTCTTTTTTCCTCTTTGCTTCTTCTCCTCTTCTATTCTTTCTCTTTTCTTTCCCCCGGTAGCCGCGGCGTTTCTCTTACGCACTCGCCGCGCCGCCCGGTACACGCTACGCAAGCAACGTAAAAACGCAGCAACCCGTGTTAATGTACGCGAGTGACGTACGTTAGACGGTTTATTGGTGAGCGTAGGTAGACGCGCGCGAGCGCGCGCCTGTATTCGTACATGGGTGCAGGCACCTAAAGGTAAAGAATAGGGACTGAAGTACCGGCGTGCAAAATGGATGGCGGATGTAAATGCCAAGTAGCCAAGTGTACGCTACTCTCTATCTTTCTTTCTCGTTTCGTTTCTCCGTCTGGTCTTGCGTGATTCGCCTTAGCCTATCTCTCTCTCTCATTTTCGTCCGTATCGTGTGCCGCGGCGTTCCTTCTCTTTCCGTGTACCGACTCTATATGCCGCCTGCATTTGATAAGTACGCATTGGCCGAGTGTCTACGGTCGCTTATGCGGCGCGAAACCACGCGGAAAGATCAAGCAGCTGCGGATAAATTTTTGTGAGACCCCCATTCTCCGAAGGAGCGGAAGTTAACCGAGCTTAAAGAGGATTAAAGATCGAGCATTAAAGCACGATTTTTTTTTCACCGCGGCACGTGCTTCGTGCAAGCAGAGTGCCATCTCTGATTTAACACGGAAAACTACAGATTTTTTTCCGATCATGTGGAAGTACTTAGTCGTCACCATGAAAACAGTGTCAGTGTAATGCGATGATAGGCTGACGCGTTTGATCGATGGTTCGATGTTTATCTTTAATTAATGGTAACAGCTGTGAGATGGAAATTATCTCAAGAATCGTCTAGGGCAAGAATTTCAGCGAGGTAACGCGATCGTGCTCGAAAGAAACCGTGGGTGGTCGGTTTTCGTGACGGGTCGCGGGAAGGTGAGCTCTGCTTGACGTGCACCTCGTTACCGCGTCGGTGGAGACGGGCTCAGACACCGGGATGACGCAGCACCGGCTCCTGGTTACCTCTAGTCATTGTTCTCCCCGCATTTCTTCTCAGCTCGTGCTCAAGTGCTCGATCGCTACCCTCCCTCGAAGCCCGGATCCCTCCGCGTGCTGTTAGCCCTACGCCGCGTACGTCCTTCGTGTCTAAACGAGATCGTAATTTTACTTGGTACGCGTCAATAAAAACGTCGTATCGTTGCTTTGACGGCGAGCAGACAGAAACACGTGGAACAATATTTAATATCATCTTGATCTTTGACGGAGTGAACGTTATAGTGAAGTAAAATCATAGGGTTAGAGGAAAATTCGTTAAAAATTTTATTAATGATAATTAAGGAACAGTATCTTAGAACTAGGTACTTCAGAAGCACGGAAAGTTCTTTCAAAGTTGGTTACATATACTTCTACGAGCGTCTAACGGCTAAGAAATGATCGAACACAAGATTCGGTAGTCGAGTGAGCAGTCGGATAGCAAAAAGGAGAA